CATTGAAGAGTTTACGACCCTCCCATTGAGATAATATATATGAATCTATCATGTTGTCATTCTAGACATCTACATACATAATATCGATAAAAGCAAATTATTTAGAATAATTTACGACTCTTCAGAGCTAGAAAACACCAGAAAATGTATATATTTTATTCTCCTATATATATGCAACTATATGAAATATGTTTATAAATATATCTGTTAAGTCGTTTGGGGGGTATTATTTAGTCAGTGCAGTGTTAACTTGTGTAATAAGAGCACAAGGCAATTGGGTATTAGGAGATCTCGACATGGCCATATTAATTTTATGGTATTCATAGAGTAAATGGAATATGTATTCAGCGAAATGTTTCTGAAGCTCAAGATTCGAATGTGTATATATATGTATACATATATAATACGCTCTATTGACTTGTTCCCTAGATTTAAATAGAACAGCTCAGTTAATATACTATTAAGCTATATAAAAACTTTTTTAGAATACTAACTCTACGAACGATAAGTATTTAGTTAATCGATTGATTGACAAAACAAAGAGTTGACAAATATAAATTGGGTGATAACTCATTAGAACTGCCATAAAATAAAGATATGTGCATATTGGCTGAATACTATGGAGTATTCAAATAAGCTAATATTTTTTATGAGAACCGATTATTAAATATGCATAAACTTAAAAAACAAACAAGGAACACTCTAAAAACAAATAGTGGACAGCAAGTCATAGCCTAAGATCAATGTGGAAAGACTTAAGGTAATGCTTAATGTAAAATATTATATATATAGAAATTGAAATATCAATCGCTATTTCCCTCAGTTTCATCGTCCAGCAGCAAACTTGTCGAGCCATAGCTACGGAGTCTGCAAAAAGAATATTTACAATTAACCACATAACATAATATAATGTATAGATAATAAATTATATAAATAAAATAAAAATGTTCAAAAACCAAAAGTTAGTTGCATGCTGGAGTTTCGCGTCTCACCTCATCGTCGGATACCTTGAGACCATCTAAATTAATACTATTGCGCGCATAGCCCGCATGAGGTTGCTCCTTATCCTGCGACTCATACAGCTGCCTATTGGCATCGACATCCTTTTGGGATGTGTTCGTCATGCATTTCAGAGGCAAAGCAAGATTGGCTCGATTGCCCCCGTTGCTGCTGCTCGTGTTGCTATTATAGCGAGCAGATGAGCTGCGCTGACGCTGCTGCTGCTGCTGTTGTTGCTGCAAATGCTGCTGATGCAGCTGATGCTGCTGCTGCTGCTGTTGCTGCTGTCCGTGTGGATTATCAAATTTCTGCTTGGCACGCTCAAATTCCAAATTGCGTGACTTCGACTCGAATATGTTGTCCTCGTAGTGCGATGTCTTCGCATCGTAATAACCAGTTGCTGCAGCTGCAGCTGCTGCTGCCGCCGCATTGCTTTGCTGTTGCTGCAGGAGCGTGCGCTCTGTATGGCTGGACCGCTTCACTGCAGCCGCATGATGCACTGCCGCCGAATCGCTGCCATTGTGCGAGCTGCGCAAGCCCGCTTGGCCATCATCAAAGATCTGGCGCAGATCATTGATGTTCGGCAAACACTCGCTGGGCAGCTCAACGGCAATTTTGTTGCGCAGCTGAACGCCGCCAATGCCACGCAACTGCGGACTTGGTGCGCGTCTTCAGATTCGTGGTTTATTGCGTTTTATTTTTTGGTATTGTTAAGTTTTAGTTTTTATAGCACCAGCACCATGGAATATGTTAGTTGGGGTAATTAGTTAGAGTTGGATGTGGATAGAAATAGTAATTCGTAATAATAGATTCCCTATTCACCTGTTTTGCAAATGCTGTATTTGCACCTGCAGCCCCTCTGTCTGTCCCACCAGCTCGTCATTGCTGCGCTGCAGGCGTCGCACCTGATTTACGGCCGAGTCCAGCTCGTCCTCAGCGCCGGCCAGCTCACGTTTCAGCTCCTCGACGCGCTGACGCAAACGTTTTACCTACAGAAGAACAATAAAAATATATATTTAGTTAAGCGAAACTTTGTATGTTGATATTATAATGCATATAGGTGCAGTAGATCAAATGAGTTGTCTATATGTGTGTGCGTCAGTACTCATTTGGTATTTATGTTTGAGTAGAACGGAGTTAGAATGCTTGAAGCAGCAGAGAGTGCTCCCATTGGTCACTCGACAATTGAGCGCAGCTTGGTCTTTGAGTGAAAGTCGCCCTATATAAAGGGAAGCAGCTGAAGCATTTCTTCAGTCGCCCAGACCTAGAGGGGGTCAGCAGTGCAGTGCAGTAAAGTGAAGTGTGACCGTTAAAATAAACATGAAATACTTGAAGGAGATACTAGGAGGAAACACTCAGACTAAATAAATTGAAAATTAATTCCAATAACAACAAACTCATTAAGCTGTTGCTTATAATCGGCAAACTCTTCATTTCATTGACTATCAGCACTCTAAGATCAATGCCTGTAGATAAGGTGAATGCGATTAGAGCCCCCGCGGAGAAGCTAACAAGAACAACAATATACATATATACATATGTATGTGAGAGCAAGAGCGAGAGCAGAGCGATAGCAACCATAAATGGAAAGCTTTTATGCAGCAGAAAGCTTTTCTGTTCAGTCTCTCGTCACGAGTCAAGCGCGACAGTTGAGCGAGTGGGAGAGCTGGAGCAGCTGACCGACGGAATTTCATAATAAAGCTAAAAACGCAAATAAAATAATAAATAATAAGAACAATGATTGCGCAAAGTATAATCGCGAAACTACGTCCATGCGTTCTGACGCGCCGCCTGGCTAGCAGTAAAGCGAGTGCAGCAAAATTCAATTGGCAAGATCCACTGAACTTGGAGAGTCAACTAACGGAGGAGGAGGTGTCCATTCGGGATGCCTTTCGCAGCTATTGCCAAGCGGAGCTTTTGCCGCGCGTCAAAATGGCCAATCGATTGGAACAATTCGATAAGAAGATCATGGAAGAGATTGGCAGTCTGGGCGTATTGGGCTGCACCCTGCAGGGCTATGGCTGCGCCGGCGTCTCTAGTGTTGCATATGGACTGCTCACACGCGAAGTAGAACGCATTGATTCCGCCTATCGTTCTGCGGTGAGCGTGCAAAGTTCTCTGGCCATGGGCGCCATATACGATTATGGTTCCGATGAGCAGAAGCAAAAATATTTGCCTGGCCTGGCGCAGGGCAAGCTGATTGGTGAGCAAAACAACATTTAGTTCACGAATTCATCTCCATACGATGTTCATGTCGATCACCTGCTCTGTTTTTTTGTTATTTTTAGCATTAAGTTTTAAAGATTTGTTGTTTATCAGCACTGATAAGATGCAGCTTAAAATAAGTGTTAGCAAGATAGAAAGAGAGGAGCGTCCCTAACAACAAACTGAAGCAAACAAGTGCGAATGTGTTGGGAGAGGGAGTCGCTGAGGCAGTTGAATGTCGGCAAATGACAGCAGGTAACATGAGCAATGGCCAAAAGCTCTCTCTCTCTCTCTCTCTCCAAATTTTTTACTCTCATCAAATATTGAGTTTGCGTTTGCATTTGAGTGTGCAGTGGGACCGGAAAAATACCAAATTCAAAAAGTAGTTATGTTCAAACAAATGAAAAAACAATCAGCATCACTCTACAAAATTATATATGTGTATAAAAATATCTAAAATGTTGGATATACATATTATAATGTTTCTATACATATATTTTAATGTTTTTAAGAAGACAAATAATTTAAAAACATCCATTCCACTAACCAATTGTATGCATGATTTTTCAGGCGCCTTTGGTCTAACCGAACCGAATCATGGCAGCGATCCAGCGGGCATGGAGACCAATGCCAAATATGACAGCAAGACCAAGACCTATATACTCAATGGTTCAAAGACGTGGATAACCAGCGCACCCATAGCCGACGTCATCATCGTGTGGGCCAAGTGCGAGGATAGCAAATTGAGGGGCTTCATTATCGATAGGCAATTGTCGAGCAAGGGTCTGGACACGCCCAAGATTGAAGGCAAATTCTCTCTGCGTGCTTCACCCACGGGCATGATATTGATGGACGATGTGCGCGTGCCGGAGGAACTGCTGCTGCCCAATGCATTAGGCTTTAGCGGCCCATTCAACTGCCTCAACAATGCGCGCTATGGCATCGCGTGGGGTGCTTTGGGTGCAGCAGAGACATGTGTGGAGATTGCGCGTCAATATACATTGGATCGCAAGCAATTCGGACGACCCTTGGCCGCCAACCAGCTCATCCAAAAAAAGCTGGCTGATGCCACGACAGAGATAGCACTTGGCTTGCAAGCCTGCCTGCATGTGGGCCGGCTCAAGGACAGCAAACTTCACACACCTGAGATGATATCGCTGCTGAAGCGCAATAATGCGGGGAAAGCATTAGAGATCGCACGCCAGATGCGGGATATGTTGGGCGGAAATGGCATCAGCGACGAGTATCATGTGATCAGGCACGTCATGAATCTGGAGTCGGTGAACACCTATGAGGGAACACACGATATTCATGCCCTGATCTTGGGACGTGCAATCACCGGCTTAGCGGCGTTTGCCAATTAGACTTATA